ATAATCCTTGCTCCAAAACTTGTTAACTCAGTGAGAATCTGACTCAGTTACACCTGTGCTGTCCACTTCTCTCCAATTATCACTCTGGTGGTCCTGTGCTTAGGATTATAATTTTAAAAAGTAACCTACAAAAGCATGTCATCTCACTCATTGCACACATAATAGCGCCAATATCCATATCAAAAGAAGTCAAGAGTTGTCTCATTTATGGACCCAAGGATGAGTGCAAGAATCTTTCTATCCCTGAGGGTTGGACAGGGATATCAGCTCCACATGCAGCCTCCTTTCCAAAAACAAATCCTTGCCTAGGACTCCAGGCTTCTTTTTTTATTTTATTTTTTTTTATGAATTTATTTTGTATTTTACTTATTTATTTATTTTTATTTTTTTGAGATAGAGTCTTACTCTGTGCCCTGGGTAAAGTGCTGTGGCATCACAGCTCAACCTGGGCTCAAGGGATCATCTTGTCTCATCCTCCCGAGTAGCTGGGACTAGACCCACCAAAACACCTTGCTGGTTTTTCTGTTTTTAGTAGAGACAGGGTTTCACTCTTGCTCAGGCTGGTCTAGAACTCCTAACTCAGACAATCCATCGGCCTCAGGTCCCCCAGAGTGCTGGAATACAAGCATGAGCCACTGTGCCCAGCCAGGACTCTGGATTTTAGAACATGGTAAATGGGCAAAGCACAGGCTTAAGAGTCAAACAGCTTGGGTTCCAATCTTGGCCTACCACTTAACTAACTATATGCACCTGGATAAGGTTTTAAAACCTCTAAGATCCTCAGTTACTTCATGGCAATGAGAATTATAATATTCCCACTACACAGATATTGTGATGGGTGCCTTGGATAACATACGGGATTTGCTAGACCCCCTTCCTAGTACCCAGTAGACAGATATCACATGTAAAGTTTCCTAGACCTCCTGAAGGACCTTCTGCACTAGTGTGCTGGAGCTTGGCTTGCAAGAGTTGACTATTGAATTTTTAGGAATTTTGCAAGCTAGTAATTAAAAATAGCCATTACTGAAACTTAAATTCCATGAACTTAAAAAAAAATCATATTAAGAACAATGGTAATAATTAAACTATAACTTGGAAGTGATACAGCTCATCACTTCCAAGTTATAGTTGACTTCACTTTAATGTTACCTACGCTCTTGAGAATTTCTTATGTCTACCACATCTGTCTGTTGGAAATATCACATAATGACAGGCTAGGGCATCTCCCTCCCAACTCCATGGGCAGTGATGTCATACTTGTAGCTTGATATCAGCCATGGTGGAAGTATTTACATGGAAATTAGCAAAAGCTACAAATCACAGAGAACTCAAACTTAGTAAAAAGAAGAAAAAGAAGTGATCCCATTTCACTACGGGCAAGAGACCTGAACAGAAACTTCTCTAAAGAAGAGAGGCACATAGTTTACAGATACATGAAAAAAAATGCTCATCTTCTTTAATCATCAGAGAAATGCAAACCAAAACCACTTTGAGATACCATCCAACTCCACTAAGAGTAGCCCACATCACAAAATCCCAAAACTACAGATGTTGGCGTGGATGTGGAGAAAAGGGAACACTTCTGCCCTGCTGGTGGGACTGCAAGCTAGTACGTTCCTTTTGGAAAGAAGTTTGGAGAACACTCAGGGAACTAAAAATTGACCTGCTGTTGGATCCTGCAATTCCTCTACTAGCAATATATCCAAAAGACCAAGAATTACTTAGCAAAAAAGATATTTGCACTAGATTACTCATAGCAGCTCAATTTATAATAGCCAAGTCATGGAAGAAACCCAAGTGCCCCTCGACTCATGAATGGATTAATAATAATTGTGGTATATGTATACCATGGAATACTATGCAGCCTTGAAAAAAGATGAAGCCCTTATCTCTTTTATGTTTACATGGAGGGATCTGGAACATATCCTCCTGAGTAAAGTGTCTCAAGAATGGAGGAAAAAGTATCCAATGTACTCAGTACTCCTATGAAACCTATTTATATTTACTTACACATTCTTGTAAAAAATAGAACACAACTATAGCCCAGGACGATGGAGAGAGGGGGAGGGAGGGAGGAGGGTAAAAGGAGGGATCCCACCTATGGAACATATGACAAGGGTACAAGTCAAATCTGTGAAGTGTAGAACATAGATGTTTTGGCACAATAACCAAGTAAATGAGGTGAAAGCTATGTTGATTGGTTTAATATAATCACGTTAGAGTGTATTTAAAAAAAATCAGCACATTGTACCCCACATACGCATGAATGTACTCATGATCTATGTGTATTTGACTCAATAAAAAAAAAAAAGAGGAAAGAATAAAAAAAAAAAAGCTACAAATCAGAAATTCCTTTCTTTGGAAAGCTGGTTATTAAACATTTATCAGCACATCATCGGTATTCATATTTCATCCCTTCCCCTTCTGATCCAGCATCTTTCATCTCTCCCCTCTGTGGGTTATCTCTGAATACACAAACATAGACACATTCAAGCAATTTAAAATGAAAAACTGAGAAAAACTAACATCCCCCCAATTAAGGATGTTTTTTCCCATTCCTTTATTGCCAGATTTACTGAGAATGTTCTATCTATGCTTAATCCCAACACTTTGTGACCATCCAGTCATTATTTTATTCTTGTCACAAATATTTTAGCCACTCCTATTATCCAGATGCTCTGGCGGGGACAGGTGACACAACTGTGAGCACACACTGGCAGGGTGCCGCCTGCCTGAAGGCCACAGTCCCTTGGCAGTCTGACCTCAGTCCCGCCTTGAAAGTCTCCAATACGCTTAACTCCTTTCTGTTCTCTTCTTTTGCCTTCCTTAAACAAGTTTACAATTTCTCAAATGGTTTTGTCGTCTTTTTCTCTATGGACCGCAGCAAAAAAGGTGAGATTTTCCCAAACATTTTCATCATTTATCCCTCCTTCCTTTCCCTTCAGGTATTTCATGCATTACTCTGAGTTTACCTTCTCCCCAGACCACAGAAAACTTAGTTCCCCCCTAGCTTTTCTGCTCAGTCACTGATCCCACCATCCACCCAGCTGCTTAGTCCAGAAACCCCCAAACCCTTGTTTTCTCTGGTTCCCTCACATCCTTATCCCAAACACTGGCTAAAGTCCTTTCGGAGCAGTCTTGACACTAGATCACAAATCCATGCCATCCCTTCCTCTCAGTTCCTATCACTCTCAGCCAAGACTCCATCTTTCCTCACCTGGTCCATATAAAAAGCCTGGTAATCCTCCTCCCTTCTTCACGACTGACTCCCAGTAGGCTGTACCATGAGGAAGCCAGAGTCAACATTTTTTTAAAATGTGATCACATCTCTCTACCCTTTAAAAAAAAAAAAAAGAAAGAAAGAAAAGAAAAAAAAAAAACAAAACTCCAATGTCTTCTCCATGGCACTCACAATAAGACTCTAACACTTATTCTCCAGGCCCACAGAGCCCTTTATTAGCTGGGCCCCACCCATCCCCTACCTTCAGGCCTTCTCCTCCCACCTGCTGGGCACCCTCAAGCCTGAACCCTAAGTCAGATCCTTTCAGGGATGGCTCCTCCCCTCATCAGAAGGATTAGGAGCCTTCCCTTACCAACCAGCCTGACTCCCCCCAGGCTGACCCATCACACTCCATCCTGTCCCAGCAGGCACAATGTATTTACTGTGGATCACTTACTGTGTATCACCCTCTACTAGAAGGTCAGCTACATAGGAGTAAGGCACCAGGCTTGCCTATTTACCAGGATATTCCTGGTTTCTCCAACATGCCTGGCACATGATGGCCCTCAATATATATTTACTGATCAATGAATGAATGAGACTAGATCCAAAAAAAAAAAAAAAAACAGGCAAAGGTGAAAATACCTGGAAACAAAGACCATCAAGGGACTACAGAAAGGAATAAGAAGAGCAATCTGAAGTGGAAAAGTGCAACTATTATGAATTACTTTAGAATGATTGGGAGGACATTAAGCTGAGGCTGCTCCAGCACCCAGGGTTCCTACAAAACCAATGGAAACCCAACTCAGAGTAAAATGAGAAAATGAAACTTAAGCTTAACCAATACCTCGCCACTTTAACCAATCAAATTGCTCCACTTCTACACTGGTCCTATAAGAGCCTTCCCTGTGCTCCCCCCCACTCCCCCAGCCACGTTAACCAATCAAATCTCTCTGCCTCTGCATTTGCCCTGTAAGAGCCTTTCCCATGTTCCCCCTTCAGCCACTTTAACCAATCAAGTGGCTCCACCTCTGCATTCACCATGTAAGAGCCTTCCCTTCATTCCCCTCCAGGGGAAACCAAGCCACCTGCCTCTGGAGCTGCCAGATTCATCAATCACTGTCTGCTCAAATAAACCCTCTAAAATTGTAACTGCCTAAGTTTATCTTCTAACACATATTTGTTAAATTCTGACTTGCCTGTGGCTTGAGCTATTTGAGAGACAATTTAGTGAGCATCTGGCCTGATAAATCTATGTTTATTTTCATGGTTAGGTCAAAGAAAAAGGAAGAATGGAGAGAAGGAAGGAATTTCTACGCTCTAAAGATTTTCCTGAATCTCCAACAAAAGTTCAGAGAAGATGGTCCCCAGGTTTGTTTCCTACCTACCTTTGCTGGAATAAATTCCCATCAAATACAAGGAGCCAGAAGAGAAGAAAGAGGAGGCAGAGAGAGCACCTGCCTCCCCAGGAGAACCCAGGGGTCTGTCTTCAGGTGGCCAAGGTGTACAGACCCTTGCCTCATCCTCCTGCATCCTAACAGAGCAGACAGCAAGGCTCCCCCTTGCTTCCTCTAACTACTATTTTCCTCTCCAATCTAATATAGCGAAGAAACGGGCAGGAAAGGAGAGAAAAGGAAGGGCTGGGAGGGAAATGCTGGGGGAGGGGCAGGGAAGATGGCAAATTGCTGACAGTGGGGTTTCACTCCTCCTGGTGCCACAGGCTGCACCAGATGCTGCTGGATGTAGGAGACACGCAGGACCAAGAAACCCAGCCCAGTACCTCATCAAGGACCACACAGCTCGCGGCGACACTGGGAATCCACTGCTCTTGGGCTCTGGTGGCAGTGAGGAGTGGCAGCCACCCCAAGCTCCTTTGTGAGGGAACCGCTGCTGCCTCCCGCTCTCGCGGTGAGGGTGGGCTGGCAGGGAGGCGGGCTGGGGGCTCCCGGGCTGCTGCAGGCCGCACTGATGGATGACCCCATTGCTCCTAATGGTGCATGGAATTAGAGGACAACAAAGTCAAACACAGGAATGAGGCTGGCGAGGAGAAACAGCAGTACCCTGCCCCACCCCAAGTCCTGCTCCCTGCAAACCATTCTGCAAAGTCTTTAGCTCTTTTGTTTCTGATATTTACTGCCACATTGTAAAAATAACATAGTTATGTATTTTTCTCATTTTTGGAACTTATACTGATTTCCTACTATAGAAAACTAGACCTTAGTCTCTCGTAAGTGGCCACCAACACACACGTTCATCCCTCACCTTCTAATGTTATTTCCCTCATAAAATTTGACAGAAATGGCATTCGGGATTTACATTATCGTGACCCTGCAAAATAGTGTTCACAGTCGAACCATCCAATGTCCTCGATGACATTTTTCTGTCATGAATCCTGAGATCAAATTCACAACCACTAGATGAGCAAACATTTAAAAACTTACCAAGTGATGGTAAGAAAGTGAAACAAAGATTCTTATTCATTGCTCCAACCATTTCAGGAGCAATGGCTTAGGATATAATGCAGGCAACACCATCTGTCCTCCCCCTGCAGGCCCACAACTGTAGTGACTGCAAAGAAATCCTCATTCACCTGCACAAGAACGCATGAGCAAAAGGCCTGCCTGCAGCTCAGTTCACAAAGGCAAAAATGGAGAAGTAACCTAATTCTAAACCCCAAAGAATGGATCAATAAATTGTCATAATTAAATGCTACACAGCAGTTAAAACGAATGAAATACAGCATTCGCTACGTCTATCCATATGTATGTATCTCAAAAACCCAATGTTAAATGAAAAAAGGGAGGTGATATCACTTATGTAAAGTTTGAAAATACATAAAATAATCCTATTTGATAGTCACTGGTATACACACGAAGTGAAGTCACAGAAACAATCAGAAATGAAAAGTGCCAAATTCAGGATTATGGTTATGTGTAGAGCAGCGGTTCTAACCTGTGGGTCGCAACCCCTTTGGACTGTATTAAAGGCTCACCGCATGAGGAAGGATGAGAACCACTGCTTTAGAGAGACAGGGGAGGGACTAGGGACAGAGAATGTTATTTTCCATGTGTTGGAAGTCATATCCCCATTTTTGAAAAAAGAAAGAAAAGAAAAAGAAAGTTAACTTTCAGGAGCTGATCTTTTATTAAAATTCCTTCCTGCTAAAGGAGACGTCAAATAGAAGAAATCTAGCCCAATCTTAAAATTTACATTGCCCTTCTTGTAGGAAAATGCTTCCAGTGTTTGTTTCTATTTTCAATGCTTGAACTGTTTCTTTCCTGCTGCCTGATCCATGGAAAGATCATAGAAAGATCTCAAGAACCACCTAAGGCTAAAATATTTCTTCTAAATTAGCAAATGAAGTATAAAGGGGGTGGAGGGCAGGACTCTATGTGTGTGTGTGTGTATACATGCACTCATTATGTTGGGGGCACAACTTTGTAAAATTCTTAAAGGAGTCTACAATCCCTCCTAAACACTTAGAACCTCTGAGCTAGTGAATGGCCTCCTGGACCTGAGCAGATGTCCTACAGGTTGCCCTGAGTTCCCTTGCAATGTCCCTTCCACAGAGGCAGTGGTAATCAGGGGAACACTCTGGCTCTGGAGTCATCCAGCCATGGGTTCCAATGTTGGCTCCACTTGGGCTGGGTGACTGCAGAGGACACTTTCTGGGCCTCTGTTTTCTCCTCAGTGAAACAAAGACAATAGTTGCTGTGAACAAGTAGCGTGGCCCAGGGCCTGCCGCCCAGCCGGCCCTGAAGAGATAGTGACCCTGTTTCCTCAGGTCTCCCTGTTATAGGCTCTGGTTCCTGCTTCCCACTTTTCACAACCATAATCAATCAATCAATCATAATCTGTCTCTACCAATATCCTGCATACTTTTGGGTGGAAGGAACCTAATCTGTTCTGTTCTTGGCCATGGCAGAAGCAATCTGTTGAATGGGTGGATAAAAGGATCAAGGAAAACAATGAAGGCCTCTACTCATGCAGCACCACTGAGCGTGAGAGGTAAAAGTTCCTTAAAAAATAAAAAAGGCCTAGGAGCCACGGGACGTTTAGACTGTGGATCAGCAGTATCATTCCTTCCATATAACTCCTGGCAGTTTAGTATCAGGAAGGTTAAGCAAGATCATCAAAGAAGGAAAAAAGACAGTTATCTCCTTTGAAAAAAAAGTCTGGCTCAAGAGTGACCAGATGAAGAGGGGACCAAGGAGGACGCAGGCAACAGGAGGCTGCCAAGTCCCGAGACCAGAGGGGATAATACTTCAGTGACAACGTAAATGAGCCCTGGATTGGACCACAGCAGTGAACACACCTACAGTGAGTTGTCCCATCTTTTTGCTTTTTCTTTGCAGGAGAAAGAAATTAGGAGGCAGAGATGAAGTGGCCACGTGAAAAGGGGTTTATAGGTTGTTCTATAAAAAGTAAGGCGCTCGGCAGCCTCTGGCTCATGGTTTTCATGGCAGAGTTGAAAGTGATAACTGGTTTACCGAGAGCCAACCCAGTACTGCAATCTTAAAATTATCTCCAACTGTCACAGTCCCAGGCAGGAAGAGGATCGGAATTTCCTGACTCATCTCCGTTTGTTGCCATTCAAAAGCACTGCTCTTAACATTCACGTCAAGAAGTATAAAGACACAGTGTAACCTAATTCTTTGTGCCCTCAATGAATCCCAAACTATAAAAAAGTATAAAGACACAGAAAATGGAATAAAAAGGCAAGAATGTTTTAAAACATAAAATTTTTCATCTGAGAAGGCAGGAGAATAAATCAACCCCATCTTTAAAAAGTTCAAAAGGGAGGGCCTTGTAATTACTGAAAATGGGGTCTGCTTGTAAAATTGTTAGTAATTATGGGTTTGATGGGGGACGAAAATTACAGTGCGTGCTTGAACTTTTTAATATGCCAATTTAGTGATTCTTTATCATCTACAAGCTACGGAATAAAACGAGTGTGCTTTAAATTTTTAAACTGAAAATAGGATGCTCTTTGATTTGAACATGATGTATGCATGTTCCTGTAAGGTTCAGACTGGCTTTTTGTAAGATTCTACTGGGCAGCTCCTAAAACCCTTAGGTACCAGCATCATTATGAGAGCAGACAAACAGGCTCTAAGTTAGCAGCGCTCCTGATGGCCAGCGCTCATTCAAATGAAGACATTCAAAGTAAACTGTTAAAACCTGTTACTATGTGCCACCTCTGCTCTCTGTGGGAAGCAAGATTTTCTCAACAGCATACAACCAAAACAAGCCAGCACCATAAACTTGCGGTTAACACAGATACTTTCTGATTCTAAATCTGAGGTTCCCAAAAAAATGTCATAGTCCTCATTGATTTCTATAAACATGTAAAGAATTTTAATCTCTATAATCCACGTATCCTAATGCAACAAGCCTTGATGATTATGTAACAATTACACTACAGTCTAAGGTAAGGTTACATTTTAACAAAGCACTTGCTTGCACTTTTTTAATGAATGCTGGGAAAATACTGTTTTAAGTAATTCTCTGCCCACGATGCTCTGCTTGATATCACAAATTTAAAATGACTTACGACTTGTCTTGCTGGTGGGAGAGGGAGAAGAGGTCATAAACTAAGCACACGCCAAACACGGTGACGCCCGTCTCTTTCACCAGCATGGCGCAGGTGCCCAGAACCAAACTGAGAAGCAGGAAGAAGGGAGAAGCTGTGGGAGGGAAGCGTTCCCCAACGCAGCCCTGACCCAGACTCCTGGAAAACAAGTCGGAGATTCTTTTAGTCTAAAAACCGAATGTGAGTTGTTAAGAAAAATTAACTTTTAAAAAGAAGAGTTAATGTCTAGGTCATTTGTTTACTAAGTAGGTGAGCAGATCCCTTCAAGAGTACTCATCATACAATTATATAAAATTGCTAAGATGGAAAAAAGTAAAAGCCCATGGATACTAAATTTGGTCCTTAAATTATTGGATATACAAATTATGACAAAATATGGTAGGCAACCAGTGAACACTAAAAAGCCATTGAAGAAGCTACCATAGGGAACATACTGAGTGACACGGGAAGATGTTTAAGTGAATAAGTACATTTTAAATGAAGAATATACACTATTTAACCACTTGTGTGAGCCCTGGAGCCAGGTTCCCTGGGTGCATATCGTAGCTCTGCAGTTAAAGGACTGGGGAATAGGGGCAAACGACTTTGCGTCTCTGTGCAAAGCTGCATTTCATGTGAAGTAAGTGGGCTGGCAGTCTTGTAAAATCACTTCTATATCAAGTGTTTATCATCATCAATATCATTTCTATACACAAAACAGTCCGTGAGATTTTATATATACACACATATCTAAGGTATGTCTATCTATCTATCTTATATCGTGTGTGTGTATATACACACCAAAATATGATCCCCACTTCACTCTGATGAAAACAGAGACATTATAACCTTTTACTTTTCTTTTGGCTTGTCTGTATTTTAAAATTTGTTTCTCATAAGCGTGTACTGGACAACGTTTATTATTTCTGACTTTCCAGCAAGGATTTTCAAAAACTCTCCAGTGCTATAAAGTCTTTGTTTCACCTTACAAAATACCAGACCAAGAAAATTCCCTATTCCCCTCTGCAGGTACCGCACCTCCGGCACCTACGTCTTTGAAGTGAAGGCCAAGATTTCTGCAGTGGTGATGGCTTCTCTTCTGTGTTAGGTTGTAGAACAGTCGCATAAAATTGTATGCACAACGTGCGGTAGTTAGGCATTTCTCTACCAAGTTGGCCTATAGCTTACACTTCTAAAAGTGAGAATGGCATCACAGCAAACCTGCAAAAATAGGGCTGAATACCCTACAGACGCAGACATGCAGCAGGCCTGCGCACATCCCCAAATGCATTAACCACACAGAAAAGGCCTGAGAGAACAAGTTTGAACTGAAAGACATTATTAATTCTGATCTAGCGTCAGAGTAAACAAGAAACAATGAATTGTTACATTTGGGCTTACATTTTAAGATGTCGTAACACCATATCATATGATTAAAAATGCCGGGGGGGGGGCGTTACAAAGGTAACACCAGAAGACTGTACTAAGGCCAAATACCACACTAAGAAAAAGTCCTCAGAGTGAATTCATTGCATTCTTGACTCAAGGTCTAAACTGGCTTATCCCAGTGTGTCTCTGTCCCAACACTACTGGCATTTTTCTTCCAGATAATTCTCGGTGGGAGGGGCTTGCAAGTGCAATGCAGGATGTTTATTCAGTGTCACCTTGGGCCTCTACCCACTCGATCTCCATGACACCTCTTTTGTTCTAACAATCAAAAATGTTTCTAGATAGTTCCAAATGTCTCAGGTGGTGGAGGAAAGGGGCATGTGGCTAGGGGATGGAGAGTAGTTACCCCTAATTAAGAGCCACCCATATAGTTAGGTGTGGTGGCAGGGACCTGTAGTCCCAGCAACTCAGGAGGCTGAGCAAGAGGATCGTTTGAGCCCAGGACTTTGAGGCTGCAGTGAGCTGTGATGGCACCACTACACTCCAGCCTGAGCAACATCCTGTCTCTTAAAAAATAAAGAAAACAACTACTGGTTTAGAATAGTACTCCTCAGAGTCACAGGCTTTCTAAGATTATAGGTCAATTGATCGATTCAAAGATCAGGGCTCACAAAGCCTTAATAGTGCATCTCTCCACCAAGGATGGCAACATAGTTGAGCTGCCCCCCTTTCCTGGGCCATGACTGAGCCCTCTGCCCTCATTCAAGTTCTCTTTCTAACCTATCCCTTTCTGCAGGTGGACACGCCACCACTCAGGTGAGCGGGTGATCACTCTGAGGTAAACGTGCAAATAGTGGGCCATTACTTAACCACTTTTCAGTTTCCCAAAGCAAAGAACTGCTATATTTTGATGAAAGTATGTGGAAATTGGCAAACTACAGTTGAGAAATACGACTATCCATTCAGCCTTGTTATTTTAAACTCTTAGCTATTACACTGAGGATAATACAAAGGAAAACAAATAGGACCCAAATGAAAAGGAGAAATCAAATAAATCCTAGGAAAACAGGAGAAAGCACTGCATTTAGTTTATTTTGTTTTATTGGTGTTATTTGAGAGAGTCACTCTATCACCCTGGGTAGAGGGGCCATGGAGTCGTACCTCAGAGTAACCTCAATGTCTTGGGCTCAAGCGATCCTCTTGCCTCAGCCTCTTGAGTACCTGGGATTACAGGCGCCCACCACAACACCGGGCTAAGTTTTCTATTTTTAGTAGAGATGAGATTTCTGTCTTGCTCACACAGGTCTCAAACTCCTGACCTCAAGCAATCCACCCACCTTGGCTTCCCAGAGTGCTAGGATTACAGGTATGAGCCACTAGGCTGGGCTTGCCCCAATACATTTTGACTCAGAAATAAAATTCAAAATTCCATTGCTAGTTGGAAATTATAAGTCAGGGAAACTGTAAGTCAGCAGAGCCAGGAAGCAGGAGTTTGCACCCCCATCCCTGGGAGAAAGTCTCTTTAACATGCTCGAAATAGGCAGGTGGGAAAACAGCCCAGCATTGGATAAAGAAAGGGTTTCCTCTTCCTAGTCCCCAAAAGCTTGCTGAGCATTTCACAGCCAAAAGCCCCCATCCCCTCTTGGGCACAAGCTCACCGTCTGCACCCAGGACATGGCTGTGCTCGCAGAAGGGACGCTCAGACACACATACCTATTGTAGGAGAGAAAGGCCAACAGAAACAGCAGACACGCTAACACGTCAGCTCTGCCAACGATCCCAGCCACCTAGGAAATCAAAAAATGTAAGAAGTAAAAACCTCAGAAAATTGCTTTCAGAAAACCATTACAGAAATACATTACCGAGAGATATTTGTTCTTAGATGAATGAAAGATATAATAAAATAGAAAACACACTGTTCTTGAAATTCTGATGTCTGAACTAACCACCTCTGATTATCCTATATATTTAATAAGAAGTTTATAGAAGGGGGAAAAAAGCAAGATTTCCATGCTTAACTTCATTTTTAACATCTCTTCCACAGAGAGTCAATTCACACTATCAAAATTTATTGGACGGCGCCTATGGCTCAAAGGAGTAGAGTGCCGGCCCCATATGCCAGAGGTGGCAGGTTCAAACCCAGCCCCGGCCAAAAAAATTGAAAAAAAAAAATTATTCATTGATGGATTGATTGATTCATAGAATTTTTTTGAATAATAACTGAGTGCCAGACATTGTGTTAGACTTCGGGCACCGGAGCCCTAATGAACAGAAGATATTTACAGAGTACTAGGAAAAAAGTAAATTGAGGAATCAGTATTTTTGACAAAAGAGGGAATGAGTTTAAACTCCCAGTTGCTATATATGAGTGTGTGTGTGTGCACATGCATGTGTGCATATATTCCATAATTCTGTCACTGAAAGGGCCAAAAGCAAGATACTTCAGTAGCAAAGAGCCATCACAGCACCAGCCACAAGCCATTCCTCTGTTAAGAGAACAAGAACTCCTTCGAGAACTAGCTGATTCCAGTGCCAAGGCTGGGGAGATTCAAGAGGAGCTTGAATCATCTACTTGTGTCAGAAAGTAAGAAAGTGCTCAGAGAATGACAGTCAAAAAGACACAGAAGCCAGTGACAAGGGACTCTCACTGAACAAATCTGGGATGAACTGAATGGCAAAATAAATAAAGACTTTAATAAATCATTAAAAAATAGAAATCCATGAGTCTACACTGACAGTACAGTCACATGCAGCATAACAACATTTAAGTCCACAATGGACTGCACACATGACCTTGGTCCCATAAAATTGTAATGCCGTATGTTACTGTGCCTTTTCCGTGTTTAGATGCGTCTAGATATACAATGCCACTGTGTTATAATTGCCTCCAGTATTCGACATGGTAACATACTGTAGAGGGTTGTAGCCTAGGAGCAGTAGGCTCTACCATACAGCCTAGCTGTACAGCAGGCTACACCATCTAGTTTTGTGTACGTGCACCCTATGATGTTCACACAATGACACAATCACCACTTCTCAGGATGTGTCCCCATCTTTAAGTGACACC